TCTATTGTGGTGTTGAAGAAGAGGAAGCTATTTGTGAAGAGGAAGAATTTTCATCTTCTGCTCTCATTACTCTTGTAATTATCTCTCTGTTTCTACCTAGAGCTAAATTACTCATTGTTCTTAATAAATTCGCCATCTTAAATCTTAAAGGCTACGGGAACACCAAGGCTTACCAACAATTTTACTGCCCACGCTCATGACTTACTATCGGGAATACCCTCCAGGCTTACCAACGTACACACAGCTCTCACTACTACCCATTTGGATTCTAAATAACAAACTTATGTAGAACAAGTTATAATTAACTCAAGATATAGCAAAAGAAGATTACAAGAATAATGATATGCATATGATTGATTAATTGTGGTGAGATTGCGTAGAGTATAGTGTAATAGAAGTTGAATGGTATGTGTGATGGATATGAATTGTGTGGAAATGTTGTGTGAATGGGACGTGAAGTGAGTGAATGTGGGCATTTATGCCGTATGTGAACATGAATACTATATGTAATTGAAAATGTAACTGAAATGTGTGTAAATGGCATGTTAAATGCGATTGTGAATATATTGGAAGCTATGAATGATTCAGCGATATACTGGGGGTGTGGAAGATGGGGTAGTAGAAATATCTTGGGGAAGAGAGAGTGGTGGTGGTACCAACAGTGAGCATGGATGCACCACAGGCCACACACTTTTCTCTGACTCGTCCTCTGACTAACACCTTTGCCAAAGGGCTCATGATTGCGTACGTTGTATCCGTGAGGCAGGAGCTAACCAGCAACCATCTATGGTGTGAAACTATAATTACAGTATCGCAGTGAGCGTGACTACGTGCAGTGAGTGCACGTGTGTGTGGATTGTTTGATGCTACAGTAAGCACACCTATATGTGGATTGGTATGAAATGCTGAAAAGTGATGAATGTGTTAATTGATGCATGATTTGAATTTGGTAGTGAATGTGTATGATATGCGAATATGAGTCTCTGTGCTTGTGTGATAGTGTAGAGTACTCATCCTTACATTTATTTTTCAGCTAATCAAGACTATCAACAGTGGGCTCAGTGAAGGATGGATGAAACTGTTATAAGACTTAGAAATTTATTTTGAAAATTGATGTATTAATTAAGTCCTGTAGTAATCATTGATACAAATTTGTAATCCATCTCTATTTCAAAATATTTTATTGAACTATGCTTTGGGAACCATTTGAATGATATTTTATTATTTCTAATTTTATGAATTTATTTATTTAGAAGATAAAATTAAGGTGTTATAATTAGCCCAAAAAATTTTTGTCTCGTTTGAGCGAGACATATCTCGCTTAAGCAAAAAACCTTTCACTAAAATTTCTATTTTTTCAATACTAAGGCAACAAAATTGAGAGCGTTAAAGCGAAAGAACAATGTGATAACATAATTGAAATAAGTATTGTGAATGCGCCTTCACAGGTAGAACATACGAGTAAACACGTGTTGCCAGCTATATTGATAAAGAAACAAAACAGTATCATTATTAAATTAGTTAAAAATAATAATAAATACTAGTTTACCATAATAACAAGTTTTAGAATTTTTGCAAAAGTAACAATTCGATTAATAAAATTAAATTGTAAATAGTTTGTAAGAACTTAATTTGATTTAGTTTGTAAATTTTGAATTTCAAAGAAAAAAAAGAAAAAAAAGAGGATAATAAATTAATAAATGTTAATTATTAATAAAAAATGATTTTTAGTTATTTAAAAAGGATTATAAAAACTAATTTGAACGCAATAGTTACATGTTTCAAGATATGATTTAATACGAAAGGTTGTTCCACAAACTATTATTTACGTGATTGTGTTGTTTAGTAGAATAAACTAAAAGATGCGAGTTTATAATTTCTAATTGTGAAATTAGCTGAAAATTGTTGACTTGTTAAAAATCTAGAGTTATATAAGTAACTTATAAAATTAAATTTTTTTAACAAATTAATTGTGCAAGTAGCTGATTTATACTAAATAACGAGTAATATTATATTATTATAATATTAAATTAATTATTATTTATTTTATTTATCTATAATCAATTAATTAAATAATTATAAAGAAAAATAAATTTATCTTTACATATAATGAAACATGAAATATTTAAGTTTAACATAAAATATATTTAGATATAAGAGACAAGAGTGTAGATTAACAAAATAAAAAAAAGAATAAGAACTATTGTAAAAATAAAAATAAAAATAAAAATGACAAAATTAGTATATGTACCGGATATGAGTTGATCGTTTACGTGTATGGCAGGAACGTGAGGAATCTTTGAGCAGTGTTTTCCTTTCTCATTTCCGTACCTTTCTTCCAGAGGAAAGGACATGAACGAATCACAACTCCACCAGAATATCAATATCAGGGATTCAAGTGATGTGTATTTATGCCATCTTTCATCACACACAAATTCTAACGACAAGCCATTTCAGAGAAAGTAATTGTCCAAATGGTGGAAGCTGACAGGTAATAGCTGCAGTCACTGATAGATAGAACTCTAAATAATAATTCATTGAAGGATTCAGCACCTACTGATTCCGTTTCTTTCTCATCATGTGGTTGTTGTAAAAAGCCTTCAGCCATCCATAACAAAATCAACTCCTTTCTATCCAACAAATGTTGTTTTGGAAAAATTGAACAATAGGCAAAATATCTTTTCAAATTGGGTTGGAAGACGAAGTTAACTTATGCGTAAAGCTGGTAACACGTCCTCAAGTGCCTATAACTTGCTTTCCAGAATTTCGTTCCACTCCTTTTCATCAACATTTGATCGCAGAAGACCTCCCAAAGTTTTAGCAGCTAAAGGTAGGCCATTGCATTTTCTTGCAATTTTCCTACCAATTTTTTCTAGGCTTGGATATTTATCACAACCCTCGTTTCCAAATGCATGTTTGGCCAGTGTCAACCAGCAATCTGCATTTGTTAAAGAGATTCCAACTCATAAATGGGAAAGGTACTTGTGACCTGTGCAACTCTCTTTTGTCGAGTTGTGAAAATGATCGATCTTCCTTTTCTTACACTACTTAAAGGAGTGATTAGTTGGTGCCAATCATTGTAGTTCTCATTCCACAGGTTGTACTGGATAAGGGACTGTTCGGTCCTACATATAGAAAAAGGAAACCGAGTATCTACTCGGCCAAGTTTGGCCGAATACCTCATTAGAATTTAAAGGTAATTAACCTAATTAAGGATAATAATCAAAATATTATTTACTTTAAGAAAAGGGCCAAAATCAAAGATGACTCAGCAGGTCCATTAGCCCATTATAATGCCTATAAAAGGAAGGTAGGAAGTACAGGTAAATGGTTGACTTTTCATTATTAAATACTATTTATTACTCAGAACCGAATCCTGACTTCAGCATCGGAGTGCCTTTTGCAGGTACCATCCCCACGTCAGCGACAGTCAGAAGGACGTCATTGTTTCAGAGCAAAGATTTAAAGCTTAGTTTTTGTCTAGCAGGAACATTTTGGCGCCCACCGTGGGGCACGATTAACCTTGTTTTTCAGATTAATCATGGTACTAACGAGAAGCCAACAGGAAGGACATGTTCAATAGGGAGGAACCTCTCGGCAACAGCTAGAAGGTGTCACACCAAATGAACCAACACCTGAAGTAGTGTTGTAAGGAGGAACCGATGAGAGCCTTTTAGCTGAACTAAGACAGCTCAAAGCAAAAATGAAGGAGATGAAGAGAGAGAGAGAAAAGGATGCACTAGAGCTCTTGACTCTAAGAAGGGAAAATGCCAAACACACATCCCTTCCCAGACTACACCCATCGTCCAGGATCAGGGGGAATCATCGGCATTGCAGGAGAAATCAAAACAGGTTTTTCAATCTGAAGCCAAAAATGACCGAGACGATCTCGTGAGTCAGAGCCCATTCGTTCACCACATCTTGGAGGCTAAGCTACCTGACAATTGGAGAGGCTTAACAATAGAAAAATATGATGGTACATCTGATCCTGGGGAACACTTGGATGTTTTCACAACCTAGGTCGGTCTGTACACCGAGAACGATTCTTTATGGTGTAGAATTTTTCCCACCTCACTTTGAGGCCCAGCCCTCAGTTGGTTTACTCGACTCCCCCCTTCATCCATCGACTCTTTTACAACCCTCACAAGACGGTTCAGTTTGCAGTTCACCACAAGCCGACCTCATCCCTCGCGTTGGTCAATATTCGGCAAGAAAAGGGAGAATCACTTAGATCATTCATGGAGCGCTTTGGCAAAGTGAGCCTTTCGATTCATAACTTAGAACCAGCAGTGGCTATGCACCACCTCACAACGGCCCTTAAGCCAGGACCTTTTGTTAACAACATATGCAAAAAACCACCTGCTGACCTAGATGAGTTGAGAAGTTGGGCTGCAAAATATATGCAGATGGAGGAATTGTACGAGTACTGAAACCAGGTACGGATGGATCAGGGGTCCAATTCAAAAAATACAAATAGGAGAGAAACTTTCAAGTCTCGGCAAGAAAATAAGGAGAGAAGAAATGAACTTGAAAGGTCGCCTAGAGGACCCAAATATCCTTCCTACACTACGCTCAACACTAATCAGTCCAGAGTACTTGATAAAGCATTGGCCACAGAAATACTGAGAATGCCTAGACACGTCAACACCCCTCCTCTGGCAGATAAAAGAAAGGCTTGCCGATACCATCAGAACAGGGGTCACACCACCGAGGAGTGCACAGCGCTGAAAGATAAAATTAAAGAATTAATCAAGGAAGGACATTTAAAAGATTTTGTGCAGAGAAATCCCGTCGGTCAATCCAATAGAGGAAGAGACCGTAACCCAGAGTCATTAAGGAGATACGATGACAAAAGACTTGAACGACAGAGGAGTAGGTCCAGGGAACCTCTAACTAGACGATACGATGAACGTGAGTAGTATCCTAAAAGGGTCATTAATACCATAGCTGGAGGGTTTGCCAGGGAAGGACCTACCTATTCGGCCAGAAAGAGACACTTGATGCAAGTCAGATCAACCAACAATATCTCACTTGGTAGTAGGATTCGGATCCCCCCTATTACATTTACTGATGAAGACTTTCAAGGAGTGGACCTTGTACAAGACGACCCCATGGTGATAAGTGTGGATATTCTCAACTGCACTGTCCGAAAAACACTCATTGATCAAGGGAGTTCTGCTGACATCCTTTACTGGAATACTTTTAAGTAACTGGGAATACCAGAAGAGGAACTCAAAGAATACCGGGAACCCTTAGTCAGTTTTTCTGGAGAACGGGTGGAGACTCGTGGGTGTATCGACCTTTACACCTCATTTGGATCGGAGCATGAAGGAAAGCGCATCAAGGTTACGTATCTGGTAGTTCACGCAAATACCTTGTACAACATATTACTCGACAGGCCTTCCCTCAACAAACTTAAAGCCTCAGCAAGAGAGTGCTATTTTGCAAGCCTACACATCAAACCACTCCAAGAATACGGACAAGATGTCAACATTGTCACTCCCAGGTATGGGGAGGACTTAGATATTGAACTTGATCTTAGGACTGACGAAGGGTGTCGGGTCGAGCCCAATGAAAGTAAGCAACCTCTTCAGCTTGGACCGAAGCATAAGCAAGTTACTTACTTAGGAGTCGGCCTATCCAGCCAAGAAAAACAGGAGCTCTAGAAAACATTGATACGAAATGCTAATTTATTTGCTTGGTTGGCTTCAGACATGCCCGGAATTGATCCAACATTTCTTTGTCATCACCTCTCGGTTTATAAAGCAGCAAAATCAATAGCACAAAAGAAAAGGAAAGTGGGAGGCGAGAGAGCGAAAACGGTAAAGGAAGAGACTGCTAAGTTACTACAGGCTGGTTTTATCCGAGAGGTCAGATACTCTACTTACTTGGTTGGCCAATATAGTCATGGTCAAAAAGGCAAATGGCAAATGGCGAATGTGTATCGATTACACAGATCTAAACAAAGCATGTCCAAAATATGCTTACCCTCCCAAGCATTGACGCCCTAGTAGACGGTGCAGCAGGCCACAGAATGTTGAGCTTCTTAGATGCCTATTCTGGGTATAACCAAATCCGAATGTATCCACCGGATGAGGAAAAAATTGCATTCATCACTGACTCTGCAAATTTTTGTTATCGGGTAATGTCATTCGGCTTGAAGAATGTAGGTGTAACATACCAGAGACTTATGAATAAAATTTTTGAAAAGCGAGTGGGTAAATGCCAGGAGGTATATGTGGATGACATGGTGGTTGAGTCCACGGTATTGGAACAACATCTTGCTCATTTGGGAGAGGTATTCAGGGAAGCCATGAGGCATGGTATGCGATTCAACCTCGAGAAGTGCACATTTGGTGTCGTTGGGGGCAAGTTTTTGGGATATATATTATCTGAAAGGGGCATCTAGGCTAATCCCGACAAGTGCCAAGCCATCATCGAAATGGTCAGCCCTAGGAATGTCAAGGAAGTTCAGCGCCTGGCTGGGCAGATTGTAGCTCTCGCTAGATTCTTACCAATAATGGCAGAGAGGTCTCGACCTTTCATTGAACTGCTCAAAAAATCCCAAAAATTCGCTTGGTCCAACGAATGTAAGGTTGCCTTCGTCCAATACAAGCATATGCTAGCAGCGCCGCCTGTGTTAACAAAACCAAAACCTGATCAAGACATGATTGTTTATTTGGCTGTGTCAGATAACGCCATCAGTTTGGTTTTACTTCAAGAAATACCTGAACCGACTCCTGTATATTTCATCAGTCGAACACTTCAAGGTCCTGAATCCCGCTACTAGTTGATGGAAAAAGTAGTACTGGCCCTACTCCATACAGCTCGTTGGTTAAAACATTATTTCCAAAGCCATCGGGTGGTTGTGCGCACAGATTGTCCAATGGCCAAAATTTTGAGAAAACCAGAGTTAGCCAGTCGGTTGGTTGCATGGACAATTGAGCTTTCAACAATTTGATATCCACTTTGAAAACTGACGCCCTTTTAAAGCTCAGGTGCTAGCAGACTTCGTTGATGAGTTCACAGCACACAGACAAACCACTTCTGATATGTGGAATCTGCACGTTGACGGATCATCAAATCGACTAGGCAGTGGAGCAAGAGTTATACTTGAAGGGCCGAACACAGTCACCATTGAACAATCCATTCGCTTCAGATTCAAGGCTTCCAACAATCAAGCCGAATATGAGGCTTTACTTGCCGGTCTCATATTAGCAAAGGAGATGGGAGTTAAATGCATTACTGGTTGGAGTGACTCAAAAATAGTGACCGAACAGGTTAATGATATGTATCAGGTTAAGGACTCGGTTATGCTCCAATATTATTAAGAATTTAAGAGAATAAAAGATGAATTTGATGAGATATGTATTCGGCACACACCAAGAAACATGAACGAACGAGCCGATAGGCTTGCTAGACTGGCTAGTCAGAGGAAACCTGGGCAATTGCAAAGCGTGATTCATAAAGAAATCCTTCAACCCAGCATCACCAAACAAGAGTGCATGGACATAGAAAATATGCCTCACAATTGGATGACCCCCATCATCCAATACCTTACCAACAGCAGCCTGCTAAATAATCCAGACTCGGCTAAGAAAATAAGAATGCATGCAGCTAAATACCTCCTCCTCGGCAAAGACTTGTACAGAAGAGGGATTTCAACACCTATGCTTAAATGTCTTGACGATGACCAGGCTAACTATGTCATGAGGGAGATTCACGAAGGTATTTGTGGCACCCATTCAGGCGAACGAACCATGGCAGCAAAAATACTCAGAGCTGGGTACTATTGGCCGACACTTGCCCAAGATTGCCACGCGTTTGTAAAGAAATGCATCCCCTGTGATAAATGCTCTAAATACTTAATCCTACATTATGATAATTGAGTTTTTTTTTTTAAGCTAGTCATTGATAGATATTATTATAATTAATCTCATTTTATTTATATTTCAGGAAAAAGGATCAAGGATATGAAAACCTTAAAGATGTCAAGAATTGAAGAAAGAAGAACCCAGAGATATACACGGGCAGATACACGCCCGTGTATATGGTCGTGTATCTCACTGGAATGCAGAGAACAAGGAAATATTCAGCCAGAGATATACTCGAGCAGATACACGCCCAAGTATATGAACGTGTACATCACTAGTGTTGTCAAGGAATGCATCATAAGAACCCAGAGATATACACGGTCAAGGTGCATGACCATGTATATAAGCGTGTACTTCCTACAAAGATTGTGAAGGCCAAGTATCACAGACCAGAGATGTACACAGCCAGAGACATGGCCGTGTACATGAGCGTGTACTTGTCAGGAAAGGTTTGAAGGACACCTATTAGAAAACAGAGATGTACATGGCCAAAGTACATGGCCGTGCACTTAGGCGTGTACTTTTATGCGCATCAGAAATTTAACTTTTGCGAGAAAATTAACCCTAGGACAATTCCTATAAAAGAAGGACTGGACTTAAACCAGGAGACGCAATTTTTGGAGACGAAAGACTCAGAGACGGCAGGAGGATGGGATCAAGCATTTTAAGTCATCTCTTTTGTAATTTTAATTTCAAGATGTTTAGGTTCTAACTTTCCTTTGAGTATCTAGACGTAATGAATCCTAATTGACTAAATTTTCTGGAATTCTTCTAATGTTATTTCATGTTCTTTTCTCTTGGGTTTAATTGAGTAGTATCAATTGTCTTCTATCTTGTTTTCTTGTTTGAATTTGAGTAAAATTCCTGCATGAAATTAACATTGCTTAATTAAAAAGACTCGAATGTATTTCTAGAAATTAACATTTTCTGTATTAGGATTAACTCTAATTATGGAATTCATAATGAACTTAATGCAACCTAGGGGTATTAATTAAGGAAGAGATTCCGATTGATCAACTGAGGGTTAGGAATCATTATCCTTGAGAAATGTATTGATTTAATTTAGAATTTCCTGCAGCAATAAGGGTTTGGAACTAAGTAGTTGAAGAAGAATTTCAGTTATTTGGACACTTAGGGGGATTTACAGTCTAGATACTTGCCTTTTTCATTTGAATACCTTTAGTCATAATTTTCTATAATTTATTTTCACAAGAATATCTGTTCCTTTTAATTTATTATTCGTTTACTTTTGGCAATTTCATCAACAAAGTTTATTTTTCATATTTATTAACAATTACGCAATTAAGGAAAAATTTATTAATAACAGTCCCTGTGGATACGACACTTGGTACTTTAATTTTAATAATATTACTCTGACAATGGGTACACTTGTCCAGTAATTCGATTTTTACACACCAAGTTTTTGGCGCCTTTGCTGGGGACTAGTTATTTAGGATTTCTTTGATTACGTCTTTACTAATTTTCTTTATTTCTTTAATCTTAAATTAATTTTTCTATTTATTATTATTATTATTATTATTATATTTTGCTTTTATTATTTTTTTTTAGGAGCTGATTTTTCTTATGCATGCCAGAACCCGTTCTGCTACATTATTCAAACTTGACCCAGAGATAAAGAGAACTTTGCAAAAAATTTGGAAAGAGAGACAACTGCTAGTACAGAGGAAAACGCACAAACCCACATGGAAGGAATGGCAAACAATGAAGAGCAACCAAGGACTATGTCCGATTATGCTCGTCCATCATTAACTGGGATAGAATCTAGCATTGTCCGTCCGGATGTGCAGGAAAATTTTGAAATAAAGCCCAATGTTATTCAGATGGTTCAGCAGTTTGTTCAATTTGATGGGTTGCAAGACGAAGACCCAAACGCTCACATCGCTAATTTTCTGGAGATCTATGATACGTTTAAGATAAATGGAGCTACTGATGATGCAATCCGCTTGAGGCTGTTTCCATTTTCTCTCAGGAGCAGAGCAAAACAGTGGTTGAAATCTCTCCCACGAGGATCTATCACTTCATGGGAGGCTATGGCAGAAAAATTCTTGGCAAAATATTTTCCTCCCGCAAAAACTGCAAAGATGCAGAATGATTTCTCTTCCTTCTGTCAGCTAGAGTCAGAGACTTTATATGATACATGGGAGAGGTTTAAGGAGTTGCTACAAAAGTGTCCACATCATGGGATTCTGGACTGGCTTCAAGTGCAAACCTTCTACAATGGTTTGAACCCAGCCACAAGACAAATGATAGATGCTGCAGCGGGGGGCACTTTGAATAGCAAGACACCAAGGGCTGCACAAGAACTGTTTGAAGAAATGGCAATGAACAGCTATCAATGGAGCTCTACTCGATCCAAACCTACGAAATCTGTGGGGATCTATAGTCTTCATGCAGTAACATCCTTGGCAATGCAAGTGGAAGCCTTAGGGAAGAAGATTGATGGTCTATCTGTTAACCATCAAGTTGCTCCGGTAATGAGATGTGATATTTGCGGAGGAGGCCACCCTAATCATGAGTGTCGAGCTACTCAGGAAGAACATGCCAATGTGATAGGAAACATACCACCTTACCAAAATTATAATGGCATGAATAATCCGGGCTGGAGGAACTATGCAAACCAACCATGGAACAATAACCAACAGCCAATGCGGAACAACACACACAGAATTTCAACAAGCTTCACATCCACCACCACCCCCAGCTGAAAAGAAGTCAAACCTTGAGGAGTTGATGACCAAATTTATTCAAACTTCAGAATCTCGGTTCTAATCCACCGAGACAGCACTAAGAAATCAACAAGCCTCTATCCATAATCTAGAAATTCAGTTGAGTCAAATTTCTAGACTCCTCTCAGAAAGACCTCAAGGAAGCTTGCCTGGCAATACTGAGACTAATCCTAGGGAGCAAGTCAATGCAGTAACATTAAGAAGTGGCAGAACATTACAAGAGAAGGGGAAGCAAGAAACAGGAAAAGATGTAGTTGAAGATGAGGATAAATGTCAAGAGGAGACTGGGGAAAAGCTCCCTGTAGTGAAAGAATTCATACCCCCACTTCCCTACCCAGCAAGATTGAAGAAAGACAAGGATGATGAACAATATGGTAAATTTCTGTCCTT